ACTGCCAGGCTGCTATGAAGTTGTTTTGAGATGAAATGTGTGGCTTGCTGGTGGTGTGGTTAGCAACCCATAATGAGGGTATTTATATGGGCAGATTGGAGTAACTTCTCAAAACAAACTGGTTTTTAACTAATGGTCCATTAAAAAAAATCTTTACTAAAGATTTTGTAGTACAACTCCATTGATTCGAAATGACTGCGGCCCATTTTTTATTTTAAATTTGGTCCTCTTTTGCCATTGAAATTCGTGCAACCTTGTTTGGTGTTCTTTTTTATTGAGCCTCACAATGCTTTCTTGGGTATTGGGCATGCATTTAATGCCAAACAATCATGGGCCAAAGAAGTGAACAATCATCGAGCTGGAAGAGAGAGAAAAGTGTACTCATTAAGACTTTCAAAGATAACATTATATGCATTGTCTTGAGCCACACAGCTGAAATATTGTGTCAACATTAAAAACAACATTGGGCCAGCCACATGACCCGTTTCACACCTATGTAAAACCGACCCGACCCGACCCAATAGTGCATTGTATTTGGGCGGGAACACTGTTCAATTTTTCTTTTGGCTTTGTATAATAGAAGATGTCACAGCAAGTGAAAATTCCTTTGGGCTAGACTAATTTTGTGCCCACATGGCCCATTTTGTACTCTGTATATTTTAGTCACCTGTTTGCCTTTTGATCAATTTTCTTTTAAAATAGGGCTTGGCTTTAGTCCTCCCTATCTATTCTACACGAATCAATTTTAATATTCTCTCTTCTAAAACTTTGTCAAGTTTGACCGACATGGGAATTAATAAAGTAAAAATTGTATATTTGGAGTGTGGGTTAGTTGTTGGACTGAAAGAAAGGGTTTTGGGGCTGGGGTTACTTTGAGAAGAAATACCAACTAACTCACTTTAGGTTGTTTAACTTATCACAGGTGCGGCTATACTAAAAATGTGACTTTTGTATACTTTTGTACTTATAATAGTGATTGTAATAGTCATTATTAATTTTTTATATGGTGACTATAGATGATAATATGTTTAGCGTCTATTTGGTAACACCGAAATGAAATGAATAGGCTGAAACAGTTGAAATTGATAAAATTTCTTTGGGCTAGACTAACCGAGTGCCCACATGGCCCATTTTGTACTCGGTATATTTTAGTCTCCTGTTTGCCTTTTGATATGCACTAATTAATAGTGCATAAATGTATGTTTTTATGTTTGATTTGTGTGGGTTGTTTACCGTTTTATTTAGTTTGTAAACATTTGTGTGAATTTAGTTGTAATTGTATTTTAGTTTTCATTTATAAGTTGTAAAGTATAGTTAGGATTTGTGGCGTTGAAAAGGATGACTTTGAAGTGAAGAAAATGGAGTTTTAACTGTCCAAGAGCAACTACCCGACCGGGTAGAACACTTGGCCCGGTTGGGTCTGATTTAAAAATCGAAGCATCACAGGAAACTACTAGACCTGGTCGGGTCCTCTACTTGACCCGGTCGGGTCTGACTTGACCCGTGACAAAACGACGTGCTGAAGATCACCAGAACGTGTAGGATATCTGAATTTGACCGGACCCGGTTGGGTGGGTACCTAACCCGGTCGGGTACCCAGCCCAAGGTGTTGAAAAACACTTATAAATAGCACACTTTTCCTTCCCAAATACTAACTCTTTCTTCCACACTCTTAAACTCAGTTTAGAATAGTATTTCTTTTATATTTTTATAGCATGTTTAGTCTCCAAATGAGGAGCTAAACTTCCATTTGTTGGTGTTGCTCTTGAAGCTTGTTGATTATTAAAGTTGTGAGTTATTTTCTTAACTTCTTCCCTTGAATATTAATTCTTCCCTTAGTCTATCTATATATTAATGTTGGGTAGTGTTGCTAAGATGACAATTCGTTAACATCTCGACATTAATTACTATTAGAAATCATAAACGAACCGATAGTTAATCGTTGATGGTTTCACAAGTAAGTAACTTCAGTTTATTAATGCACGGTAATGGTTAATAAACTTAAGAGGGATTAATTTTGTTGGTTAAACTGAAACCGTTGTGTTGAGGTTATCAATCTCAATTAATTTCATCAAGGAGTTAAGAGATTAAATGCTAATATTAAATCGGGATACGGCGTTGTTCTATATTTGATTAATAGTAAGAGTTATTAATGAATGGTCGTTGTTAATAACTAACCTCGATGAATTGGATATACTCCTCGATTGAGTATTCGCGAGGGGATAAGTTATAGATATAACAATGATCGACTAAAATATATCGAGAAGTGGAAAGTAGCAAGACCAAGTCTTTTTTTTATCTTTGAATTAAATCACATATAAGTTGTTCATCTTGGTGTTTAAATTAATTAAATTCCAACATTCCCAAAACCCCCCTTTTTATTTACTAGTTTTATGAAAAGAGAATTATTTCTTCCATGTGGATACAAACTCTACTTCACCTATATTACGTATAAGTGTTAGTATCGAATTATTTTGACGCACTACGATGAAGTGCTCGTCAAATTTGGCGTCGTTGCCGGTGAAAGGCAATTAATTTTTCTTTTTATTTTATTTTAAGAAAAAAAAGAAAAAAATATATTACTTAAATATAAAGAATTATATTCTTCTGAGCTTTGTTTGAGTATATGGTTAAACACCGATCTATAAACCAAATTACCTACCAAACAAACCCCGAAACAGAACAAGCCTTCGAGAGGTTTAGGAATTTATTTCCGAATACTTCTTCGAAGGAATCATCAAGTGCTAGTTCTTATTCTAGCGAGAACGAAGACTCAATCACTATGGCTCAAGAGACGAGAACATTGAGGGAGCTAACAGCTCCAAATCTCAACCATTGTGTTTACGTTTCCTACACTCAATGACTATAATACTTTTGAGCACAAATCGGGGCTTATTCATCTACTTCCTCCCACGGGCTAAGAGGAGAAGACCCAAACAAACATCTCTCGGAATTCCATATCGTTTGCACATGATAAACAGATTTTAATAGTAGTGGCCGGCCAGAGGAATTTAGAAAAATATCACCAACATGTTTTATAGGAAGTTGATCACCATTAGCAACACTAACAATAGTTGGACTAGAATAAATAGATTTATTTGTCAAAATACCTTCAGAAGAAATCATATGAGCAGAGGCACCAGTATCTGGATACCATAGAGCTTCATTAACTTGACCGGTGAGAAGAACTGGTGCAGTGGATGGAGAAAATCGGGAAGGACAGCTTATGGCAGAATGACCTGCAGAAAAACAAATTTGACACACAACGGGAGGGGGAATTGCCCCAAGGATTCCCTCATCAGATGAAGGGCCTGTAGACTTAACATTAGTACCACAAAATGATATAGCAGTAGCATTTAAAGTTGACAAAACCGAATTACTCATATAACCTGCATTTAGAGATCTCGGTTGGTGCCCTCCAAGTTGTTGGCCGAAAGCCTGGTGGTTCCCAGGTTGTGCTGGTTACTGCTGCTGGCCGTGAGCTGGCTGGTATGCCTGGCCGAAAGCGTGTTGCTGATCCTGGCCACCTCGGCCTCTGCCTCGTCCAGCTCTGCCGCGGCCTCCTCTGCCGCGGCCACCCCAGCCACCACATTGTGCAGGTCCACGTTCTTGAACACCGAAGGCCTGGTAGGCAGGAGGTGTGGACTGTTGACGAAGAAAGAGGACCCGTTGTTCAGCTTCTAACAGGCTCCGATGAAGAATATCTGGCGGAAAATTATCCGGAAAAAGGGAAATAGTTCCCATAGTAGACTCATATTCTGGTCCAAGCCCCATTAGAGTGATTTGAAGAATTTCTTTGTGGGGCACGGGAGAGTTTATGGCAGCTAATTGACCCACTAAATATTGAATTTCCCGGAGATAATTTTTCATGGATTGATTTTCTTTCTTTTTCATATCGGTCAAGTTACGTTTAAGAGCCATGGAACGAGCCAAACTAGCAGAACGAAAACGAGTTTGTAGTCTTTCCCAAATCTCAAAAGCATGTTTAAGTTCATGTACATCGATTAATACATCACGAGTAAGGGTAGCAAAAATCCAGGACCGAATGGTTTGATCAACCCTTAACCAATGGTAATACTCAGTATTAATAATTCGGTGATTATTAAAATCAACCGTGTACATCGGCGGTACCTGTGTGGAACCATCCAGGAAACTAAACAAACCTTGAGATACGAGAAAAGACTCAAATTGGGTGCGCCATGTAATATAGTCTTCAACCGCCTTGAGTTTGATTGTGACAATTTGAGTAACATTGGAGATTGGAGAGAGGGACTGTGCAACGGCAGCCATTGGGGACTGGAACAGTGAAGAGTCTGCCGGTCTAGACAGTCCAGGTGCACCAGAAAAAGTGGAACCAAAATACCCCGGACTTGAGCATGGCCGAGGGTGTGTGGTCGGCATAGGAGTAGAAAAAAACCCATGTGGTTCGGTTATGGCAGGGGGCTGCCACGGGAACAGCGGCGGAAGTTGCTGAAATTAAGAATAAGTCCCAGGACCATCTGTAACGAATGGAGAGGAGTCCGTATGCAGGGCCGATGCCGGTTGAGAGGGAGGTACCTGCTGCGGCGCTGTCAAGGTTGTAGCAGCGCTGGTAAGAAATACGGCAGCGTCAGTAGGGAGAGAGGGAACCGGCGCCGTAGTTGAGGAGGACGTCACCATGGAAGAGGAGATGGTGGTGATTAGTGAAACACCGGCTGCAGCAGAAGAGTCGGCCGAGCTCATAGTATCGGTCGAGGGTTTGAAGAGAGAGAGGGAAAAAAAATCAAGCTCTTGATAACATGTGAAATAATGGGAAAGGTTACCCTAATAGGGTACCTGACAGATATATTTATAATAAAGAGAGTTTCCAAAAATACAAAGTATTCCTAATTTAATATTAGGCTATTAAAGAGCACATTTGATTCCTTGCTTTTGCATGCTTTACAAATGTTTTACCAAAAACCTCAACTTGTTTTCTTCTTCTTTTTAATATTGAAAATCAACTGTACACATGATAGTAGACAAATTCATACGAAGTATTATTTATTCATTGGAACAAATAGCTTGATTTTAATTTCAATGCATTCCCCATTCAGTTCAAATAGACAAATCTACCGTATTCAGAAAAATATCAATTCTGGTTTGGCCTCAGATACTCAAAGGTAAAAATCAGAGACATTTGTTTCTGGCCAAAGATATCCATGATAACTAATCTCCTGAAAATTAACTCCATTGCAATATTCTTCTTCATCCACACCGTCCATCTCAATCCTGCAATTCTGTTCCAAATACCGACCGTTGATGCCATCATTTGTTGTCGGGAAGTGAGGTTCCATTTCCATGCCCGTCATATCCATCATCGCCAAATCCAGATCGTTGATCTTCGAAAGATCTTGACTATGGAGTTGACCGGCATCGGACGGTTGAGAGGCTTTGGGGGGCTTTCCCCGTTGACCACCCTCAAACAAACCGTTGTCCACGTTGACTATTTCGGCTTCCAACGATTTGATCACACCCTTCAATCTTTCATCATCGTAATCCTCCGCCACGACATGGGTATCATCAAGAAATGACATGAGAAGATCGCCGCCGTCGATTTCGGAGAAGTCGGCGTAGCTAAAATCATCACCACCGTTCATACACCAACTCACGGCCGGATTTGAAGTAGTGGCCATCTTTTATATTAGAAGAATAAAGAGAGGAGAGAAGCTAAGAGTGAAATGGTTTCAAGAATGGGAGGTTTATTACTTAATTTATACTCCGGGTGTTAAAATAAAAAAGATAAGTATTGTCCCTCTTTCCTTTTGGATCTATCTTACTAAGTCTCTTACCAAATTTAATAAGATTTATGTGGTTTTAATTCATTTTTACGTTACTCTTATTTTAAATTTGTTTTTAATTGGATTGAAATATTCTGGTCTTGTCTGGTCTGATCTAGTCTAATCTGGTCTGGTCTGGTCTGAAAAATGTCTGAATTTTTTGTATTGTATAACTATTCAAGTCTAGTTAGGTCTGATCTGGTCTGAATGGAGTTTGATCTGGTCTGGTCTGAATGGAGTTTGATCTGGTCTGGTCAGGTCTGAGGGTGAAAACAATCCAAGTAGAAACATTCTCAATATCAATTACATGCACTCACTTTTCTTAATAATCGTATCATCTCTTTATGTCTCAATGTTGGTTGGACGATACACTCACTTTTCTTATTAATCATATCATCTCTTGCTTTATATCTCAATGTTACTGAGTATATTAGTTGGACGAGACACTCATTTTTCTTAATAATTACTCCCTCCGTAACATTTATATCTTTCCACTTTCCTTTATTGGACGTAACATTTATATCTTCCCATTTCTAAATATTCCCATCATACCCTCAATAATTTAAAAAATAATACACTACTACACCTATTTTTTTTTTGGATTTATCCTTCATTCCATCACATTATTTCACCATCTTCCTATCATACCCTCAATAATTCATACTTTATTTCACTATTCTTAATCTCACCCACTTTGAAAGTGGGAAGATATATGTGATATGGAGGAGTATATAATAAAAGGGAAAGTATGGACGGAGGTATAATAAAAAAGGAAAGTATAAAAGTGTAGTTCAAGCTAAGTGGAATAAGCCCCCACGTGGGCCAGCTTCTTAACAACGTGATCATGCATTTGAGTTGTACGATGAAACCAAACTTCAAATGAAATGCATGTGTGGTGTTAGATAGTTCCGGGCCACCGACAATTCAGCTGAGTGATCAATTACGAGTACTTCATCCGTCCCTTAAAACTTTGTCAACTTTCCATTTTTGGATGTCCCACTAATTTTGCCACTTTTCCTTTTAAGTAAAAAATTTGTGGTTCCATTTAATTCTCTCTCCTCTGCACAAACCTCAACCACACAATTTTTACTTTATTAATCCCCGTGCCAGTCAAACTTGGCAAAATTTTAAGGGACGGAGGTAGTATTCATTAACACATAATCGGCCCGTTTGGTAGCATAAAAATCGGCTGATTGGGTTGATTCCGCTTAAATTTATGAAGTTCTGTCTGAAGTGGCTACATTGGCTAATTCTGTTGATTTAAGAATTTTTTTTTAAAATATATTTTATCAATAAAAATATAAAATAAAGAAAATAGCTAAAATGGTCATCTACAGTAACCAAAATGGTCATCTACAGTAACTTCAACCAAAATAGCCAAAAAAGTAACTCCGACCTTACTTTTTCTGCTTATTACACAATTCAGCGCGTGAAAGCAAAAGTTACGTGTTTGGTGAAAAAGTTGGCTGATAAGACTGACCGAAAAACCACCTCTATGTACACTGTATCTTTCAGTAATGGAAATTAAAGTTGGAAACGTTACGTACGTTTTCATAAATTATCAGCACCAACTCCACCAAGCAACATGAAATACACTCCTTACTCCATATATTACAATAAAGTATACTCCCTCCGTCCCTTATAACTTTGTCAACTTTCCTTTTTTGGGTGTCCCAATAACTTTGCCACTTTCCCATTTAAGTAAAGAATTTGTGGTTCCAGTTAATTCTCTCTCCTCTGCACAAACCTCAACCACACAATTTTTACTTTATTAATTCCCGTGCCGGTCAAACTTGGCAAAGTTATTAGGGACGGAGGGAGTATGATACTAATACGTACTCCGTATTATTTTCGTGTGATAAAAGTACTTCAAATGATGAATGGTCATCAAAGTTTATAAGGCTTGCTTAAAATGTCAAATCATAAATTTAATTGTCAGATGGAGGTTCATACCTAGTACTCCTCCGTATTTAATTATTAGAGGAAAAAATGGTGGCTTTCTCCCGGAGTGTGTTCAGAAATTTTGTTCAAAGGGGCCTTATACGGTTATCCGCAACAAGGGTGAAGATCGGAGATTTGAGATAATTCACCGCAAATTGTGATGTACCACGTATATCTTATTCTAAAGTGATCTGAAAGTATTATCAAATTCACAAATGTACCTTATTCTTTAACAAAAAAAAGATTAAAACTTTATCTTTTTCAACAATTATTCTTTTATATTTTGTTTTTCAAAATTACACATTTTTATCAAGATCAATACTTTTTATATACTAGTTTTATGTTTCAAAATTTATGTTAAGATGTTTTTCCATTTTCAGCCCCTCGGCTATTGAGTCAGTGACACTTTTAGTACTCGACTTTCAAAATTTATACTCCCTCCGTTCCAGGGAGAAGTTCCCAATTTCCTTATTTGGATGTCCCAAAAGAAACTTCCCATTTCCCTAGATGGAAAGTTATCCTACATTAAAACAGTGCTAAACAGTGCCAAACAGTGTCGAAACAGTGCCAAACAGTGTCGAAACAGTGCAAAACAGTAAAATTTACCCCTCAGTAACTTTATTTCCTAAAAATGTGTGAAAGTCAACCCGGGAACTTCTCCCTGGGACGGGGGGAGTATTAAGAGTTTTTTCCATTTTTATAATTCTATTTATTCTTTACGAATTAGCAAGAACTTAAATCAAACCTAAAAAACTAATTCTGTATACTAATCTATAATTGAAAATTTTCTAATAAAATATCAACACTAATATAGAATGATACTCCAACTAACCCGTGAATTAAGTAGCTAATATATTTATGTTTTTATAGAAGTTGCTAAAATAGATTAAACCCTAATAAATAACTAATACGGAGTATTTACTTAAAATAATTTATTGTTACCTAGAAAAATTTGAACTCTTTCTATATAGTTGTATGTGAAAATATCATCTTTGTAGTTATGTAATGTTTCACATGTTAATCTCCAAAAGTTGATTAATTATAAGTAAAATTAATTTTATTACAAGTAAAAAAATCTTTGTGAAAAAGGTTTTGTATAAAAAAAGATATAAGAAATAAAAGTTAGTAAACTTGAACTAAAAATAATGAAAAAAATATGAAATTGAAATATGATTTTTCTTAAATTTTACTAATTCATCTATTGAAAGTATAATTGTGATAAAAATTGAAGTACAAATCTTTTTTACGAAAAGTGAAAGAATAAGATAATTTGTGAATTTGATAATAGTTGGGATATATTTAACTAATAATCCTTAAAATTTAAAAACTAAAGTAATTCATTCTCAATGGAAATAATGTCATTTACGTCCCTTATTCTTAAAGAAAGATGTTCTCATCGTCTTATTACTATTAACCTGTCATATAAAGTAAATAAAATAAATATTTGGAAGAGTGTTAAAAGGTACCGTACAATTAGGGAAATTAAGTTTCTTCCATTTTTAATCCTCTGTCTATTGTCTTATTGACACTCTTGGTACTCGATTTTTAATTTTTCCAATTTTAATCCTCGACTATTGTTCTAGCCTTCTAGGGTCACTTTTAGTTCTCGACTTCGAAGTTTTCAACATTTGGTCTCCTGAGTATTATCAAATTGACACTTTTAGTCCTCCCACTATGATTTTGACACAATAAGTGGAGGACTATAAATGACATTTTTATAATAGTTGAAGGATCAAAAGTGTCACTTTTATGAAAGTCAGAGGACTAATAACATAAATTATCAAAGATGGGTACCAAAAGTGTCTTTGGTGCAAGAGTCGAGCATTAAAAGTGGATGTTGAGGTTTATTCCTTCAACCCGTGGACCCAACACGTAAGCCCAAAGGTTTCGAATGGAGTGAGTGTATGGTTATCTAGCCCAACAACTATTAGATGAATCAGGAAACAAGAGTAATAGCAGGCAATGTAAATAGGTATTATTAACTTCGTAATAACTCCCCTAAGTACAATCTACTTGCTAACAAAGGCACATCGGCCGTTCGTCTTACAAGGCAGTTAGAAATGCTGCGAGTAAGAATGCTGAAGCTAGTATGCTAAGAATAGAAAGTTGCCAACCCTTTACAATGGAATAAATGCTTCTATTTATACCCGCCAATGGGCAGGTGGCTGTAGTGACGTGGCAGCCTGTGGACCGCTGGTGTCCCAACTACCAAATCTTTAGCATTAAATGCACTTCCCGCCAGAATCTAGGTTTCCCGCCGGATTAGTGGGGACGTTCGTCCACCGGGAAGTGAGTTGGATTGCTCCAAGGGACCCTTGGGAGATATCGGCTGCTCGTCTCCTGGCCTTGGTGGATACTCACCATGTGGACTGGGTTTTCTCCGATGACTACAGGCTTGCTCTGGGGACGTTCGTCGTCATTCCTGGTGGCCCGTGGTTCTGCTCCTTGTCCCTGCATAGACGTTCGTCGGGATGAGCTGCTGGGCCTGAGTCCTCCAACACTAGACGTTCGTCCATCCCCGTGGAACATGGGCCTGTGGGCTGGCCTAGTGTTCTAACTGGACGTTCGTCTAGCAAAATGGGTTAGTGGGCCGAACCTCGGCTTGGGCCCTTAACCCAACACAAGTCCCCCACTTCTGATGTTCTGAGCATGCGCAGGACATAAGGAAGTATGAACCTCTCCGAAGTAGACGTCCGTATCTTGGTACTTGTGTTTATTGCACCTGGTGGAAGCATACGTTCGTGGTCATGGTGCTTGACAGCTGTTGACGGTTCAGGGAACGAGGTGACGGCTGATGTTGCGGCGGCGCATTTTCCCGAGGAAGCGTCATCATTACGTTCCCATCCCACGCTCAGCGCGTGGGCCGGAATACGCTCCTCGCCACGTGTCATCCCCTCGTTGGTTTCTCCATCGGTGTCTCTCCTATAAATGCCGGGTTTCTCCTCTGACTTAGGGTTCCCAATTTCTGCTTTCTTGCTCTCAATTTTCCGCAGCT